AAACGAAATTTAAAAATCTTGTAATCGGGCGCTGGCCATTTTTTCACCCCCTTGTATTTTTTTACCTTTTGAGGTACAAACGAAATAAGAAGCGGTACAAACAGGTACAAACGAAGTACAAACGAACTAGATTAGTGATTTTTTTTTTAAATAAAGTTGGGCGCCAAGTTCACATCGGTCTTGTTTCAGTCGATGGCACACGCACTTGCTGAGGAACACTTCAACTCTTATGAAAGCGTCGAAAAATGGGTCTCTGATTGGATAGCCTCTAAAGATGAGTCGTTCTTTTGCCGTGGAATCTGCTTATTGCCAGAAAGATGGAAAAAAGTCATATCTAACGATGGCCAATACTTTGATTAATGTATTTTTTTCATTTGTTTCTTAAATAAAGGCTTAATTTTTGCGAAAAAGACGGGTTTCAAGTTATAGACGTAATAAAAAGATGTCATATACAGAGTACCTGAGAGAGATTACGAAACCTCTCGTGGGCGGTTAAAACATAATAAACTGAACAAGAAAATCTTTTACCGTTTTGCAATTTTCGCAATAATTATTGAGATAATAATTAAAAAGCATTGACAAATAAGCACGCGTTTTGTGTAGCTAAATCATAGGATGTACGCTCTAGGCGTGACAGCGACGACGGTCACACAGCAACGAAAACTTTGATCGCTTGGCGAGGACAAAAGTAACATGCGAGCAGCGAGCGGGCAGAAACTTTACTTTTCGTTGCCGTGCGACACTTACCGCTGGCATGCCTACATTTCATAGTCTTGCCGTGCGAATTGCGCTCTCATTCGCCAATCCTTTTTAATAATTATCTCAATAATTACTGAAAAAATTGTATAACAGTAAAGGACTTTCTTGTTCAGTTTGCGTTTTATTCACTTACGAGAGGTTTTGTAATCTTTCTCGACACCCTGTATATATTTATATGGGATTATTTTTACTTAGTCTCTACTCATGCTGCTGAAGTTGCCCTTTACCCTGTATATTTTAATTTCCTCGAAAATTATTTGAAAATTACTTTTTAAACCTTGTATTTAAATCAAACTTTCATAAATGTTAATAAATAACTGTTATTATTTTAAATTAACTCTTATCACTTTAAATAAAGATAGAGAGCAAATAGCAATTCTGTATATGCTTCAGTTACATAATATGAAAATAAACCTTTAAATCGAAATCAACAGGTATCACTTTTTTGGGTCGTCTGACAGCATCCAGATTTCTCCCAGGTGGTTTTGGTACCATTGATGAATCATGTTCTTTGATATTTTCACCGTTCTGCATTATATCTAAAAAATCACAAACAATTTATTTCAAACGTAATAAGATATTCTAAATTAGTATTAAAAACGCAAGTTAAATTTATTAAAATTATTATTACCATATAATAAAATAAAAATAATAATGTTAACTATTATTTTTATTTTATTATATGATAATGGCGTGATGATTTCGGAATAAAAAAAAATTATGTAATAGATTTATTGAGACATAAATATGCAGAATGACAATGATTTTATGATCATTAAACGTTGAACTTTTTACGATCACAACCGCAGAAAGAGAAGATACGGATTAAGGATTAAAAGAATAGTGTCATATAACTAAAAAAAAATTGTGTATTTCAAACTTCTCAAATAAAAAAAAATAATTTACAACATTAACACAAATAGAAACACTTTTAAATATTAAATAAATAAAATTAGAAAAGTCGTGCCCAAAATAAGTTTCCAAAATATGGATACAGAAGGACACAAAATAAAAAGTAACCTAAAGTGGAATCATATTTCCACTATATCAACATCATTGATTATAAATAACTAAATAAATAATCATTAAATTTAGAAAATGTAACCTTTTAAAAATTTTTTTTTAAATATAGTGTTATTTGAAAAATTTAAATTGATCTTGATCCTGTGCGAGCATATGTGTGTATATGTTAATGTTTAGGAAATTTACTACATATCATACAATCAATAAAAAAAAGCAAAAAAAAAATCGCTACTATATCGCTAAATAATAATTAAAGATTGGTTTATTTCTTTAAGAAATTATATATATATACACTCACCCGCAAAAAAAACGGGCCACCAAACTTTAACACAATTTTTTAACATCTTTGAATAGCGATAACTCAGCAAAAAATCATCGTATTGGGATGAAAAAAATCGCAAATTAAAGCTTGAACATTCCTCTTAACAGACAAAAAAACCAAAATTGAGTTATGCAAAATGTTTTACAAAATGGCGAACCTTGAAGATAGACTTTAAGATATAAAAAAATATATATATATATATATATATATATATATATATTATTATTATTATTATTATTATTATTATTA